GGTTTTCTAGACAGATGGGCGACTAGGGAGGCCATCAATGGGACTTAAGGCCTTTAAATAGGGTGCAAGACCCTAAATATTAGGGTTTCTTAATCAGTCACCATGTAACGACCCAAAAATCAGGGGTAAAAATTTCATTTTTAATATAACCCAACTATAAGTACTATTTATTCCAAACATTCCAAACATTGTTAATTAGAAACATTTATCAGAGTTCGTCCCAAAATCATTCATTGCGGAATTCATAGGTGTGTGCACTGCGATCAGTCCGAGCCCTTCTTTTCCAAATCGAAGATACTTGAAACCAAAACTGTAAACCGTAAGCACGAAGCTTAGTGAGTCCCCAGAGCATACCCCACACACAATCCACATAATACATATCGTACTAGTTGTAATAGTTATCTCTACCACATAATACAAAGCAAATGGCTATAAAAGCTACCTCTACCACATATCACGTATCATTTAGCTATAAAAGCTATCTCTACCATTATCACATATCAATCAGCTATAAAAGCTACTTCTACCACATATCACATATCAAATAGCTATAAAAGCTATCACTACCATTAGCACATATCAATTAGCTATACAAGATATCTCTACTGTTAGCCACAAAGGCTATCTCTACCATTAGCCACAAGGCTATCTCTACCGTTAGCCATAAAGGTTGTCTCTACCATTAGTCAGAAGGCTATCACTACCATTAGCCAGAAGGCTATCTCTACCATTAGCCACAAAGGCTATCTCTACCGCATATCATGCATACATACATATCACACACCTCTACTTAGCAAGTATACCAACTATCATAAAATGGGACGGCCTTAGTGCCTTAGACCCATTGGTATGGTGAGAAGACCCACCTCTCGAATGTTGAACTGATAAGCTGAAGTCAGATACATCCCACACGTTGCTCCTTCTCAACTGCCCATAATCATCAGGTGATTAACTTGACACAAACCCATAAATACCCTCAGGTGAACCCTGGTCAAAGTCTATGTCTGTAGTCAAGGTTAACAGTCTATATTGACCTTGACTCGTCGAGTACAATTACCCACTCGTCGGGTTCCTTGCTTAACTCGTCAACTCGCCGAGTCACCCGAGAGACTCGTCGAGTTCTTTGATGTTCACGGCCGTAAACTCCTAACCAAACACCCTTGACCGTGAACCCTTGGTCGTGAACCCTTGGCCGTGAACCCTTGGCCGTGAACCCTTGGTCGTGAACCCTTGGTTGTGAATGAGAAAACCCTCCCGACTTGCCGAGTCACAAGAGCGACTCGATGAGTTCCCACGTATTCGGTCCTTTCCAGTGGGATTTAAGGTCCCAAACTTCAGATCCATATTCTCCTAGTGATAATACCACGTAAAGTTGCCAACTTTACGTTATTACTAAGTCTCAGAATGCCAAAACCACATCAACAAGCTTCTTACAAGTCCCCAATGCATGAATAAGAATTAGGGTGCACCAAGGAGATAACTTTATGACATTTGGGACCTAAGAAGTTCCAGATCTGGAACCATATCCTTGTGATAGGTTCAGATCCAAACTTGGTTCCATTCCTCAAGGATGGCTATAATCTTCCAAAAGAAATCTAAGAGCTTTAAGCTTTAAGGTAACAGATTAATACCTCAATAAGGTGCCCAACACGAAATAGATACTCGATCTAGTGCTCCTCCCTTGATACTTCCTCTTCAAGCTTGAAATCCTCACCAAAATCCCAAAGACAAGCTCCCAAATGCTCTCTCTCTTCACACACAAAAGGTTTGCGGCCGAGAACAGCTTGTAGGGTGTAAAATTGAAGGCTATGAGGCAGCTAATGATGTTTATATAGGGGGCAAACCCCAAAATTAGGGTTTCTCCCTACAGCACTGACTCGCCGAGTCAGGCCTTCCGACTCGCCGAGTCGGTCCCGATTCGTGACCGCGATTAAATGCCTCTACTCGACGAGTTGGACTCCCAACTCACCGAGTCCATGCATCACAACCCTAAAAATTCAACCATACCCAATAATACCTGGATCAGATGTTACACACCAACTCGTCGAGTTTTCACTTACCCACTCGTCGAGTTGGTCCAAAAATATACGCAGCCCAAAAGTCTTCAACACGTCGAGTTTATTCCAAAAACTCAACGAGTTCCAAAGGGAATTTGCCTTTTGAGAAATAATCGGGATGTTACACCGAAGCAAAGATAGTTGATAGTCACATTTACGTTTGCGATTATTACTTTTCATTGGAGATCATTTTAGCATGTCTCTATGTAACAATTTGAAATGCACATCAAATGTTCAATGAAATGCCCAATGCCCGAACATATATCTTCTTTAGGTATGAACTCAAATTCCGTCTCTTTTCTTCTTAGATTTTTATTTGTTATTGATATTACTTATTAGGAGGAGTAACGGAGTAACGTTAATATGTGCCTTTCGTTTTGAGATAATGTAGTAGGATGTGATCAAATGAGGTTCGCATAACAAAGTAAGTAAGATCTGTTGGAATAAATTTGAAGTATAAGAAAACAAAGAACACGTTGATGTTGCTGATCAACCAAACATGCATACCAAAGGGCTTCTAGCGGTATCCGGTGTTGCCCTCCCTCCTTGAGGTTGAGGGTTCAAGTCCTGTCGTGGACATACACGACATAGGTGGATTTAAGGTGTGGTTTAGAAATAGGTTAGATTTGAAACATGCATGATTTATTGACATCAAATGAGCTGTGGAAAAGCAAAACATGGAAAGAGAAACTAAGCTAAGACTCTGTTAGAATATCTCAACAACTTGATCCACTAAGCTAAAGACCAGGTCAAGTGAGTAGGATACTTACTGACTCGATCAAAACTAGACCAACAGTTGGAATTACTAGACTTTTGACACTTCCCCTCCATTCAAACTTGGACAATCCCATGTGGAAGCAGAATTCCACATGTTTTGATATTGGTAGACTCTTTGTCATAAATAATTAAATTTGATCATTAAATTACCCATCATATAACAGCTCCCTATTACATCAAGACAAAAGGGCTGTCTATTTAGGTTGACTAAACAGATGAGTTGTTGAAGACTAAGTCAAAAATAAATGAAAAAAAAAAAGTAAAGTGTCGTAAGAGTATTGATGATAAAAAATCACATTAATGCAAGAGCTTTTTGTGTTCAACAAGACCACATCTTGTCATTCCACTTCTTCCTTGAAAAAAAAAATGGCAGACAGAAGCATCTTCCTCATCTTAACTTTCTCTTGCTATTTTTCAGCAATCCTTGTCACTCAGAAACAGATACCTTACTGCAAGTTGAAGAGCCGAAGGACTGGGACTATTTGATTTCATCAAATAAGGTCTTTACTTTGAAGTTCTTTGGGTTTGGAAGTACCATCAGCCCTTATTTAGGGATATTCTACAACCCCATAATTATAAGAAGCAAAAGCGATGGTTTTGGAAGAAGAATGTTTTATGATGATAATGGTGACGAAGGAGATAAAGCAGTTTGGGTAGCAAACAGAAACAATCCAAGCACAGATATATATGGAAAGCTGTCGATAGATATCCACGGAAAGCTGAGCATTTTATCTGTTGTTGATCGATCTCTTCAATCCTTCTCCATTAATAACACGCATCGCAAGTGCTACACTGTTGGATACAATAGTTCCTCATCTTTATGGCTTTCAATACTTGTGAAGACGAACCCATTATTGTACTCTCTGTACTTGAAACATACTAATAAATTAATATTAGTGCAACCCAAAAGAAGCTAATTAACTCAAGGAATGTTGTTACAAAAAGACTTGTTAAAGAACGTTGGGATTTAGTTAATATGGAAATGGTAGAGAGACATTCTATCTATCTAATTAACCACTCTTTCTCTGTTAACAAATTAGGGAAAGCAGTTAAACATGCCATGTTGGATGGTTTTCGGAAGTGAAGGAAATCCAAAAGCTGTTGCTGCATCGAATGAGGCACTTCTACAGTTATATACAAACAGATAAGAAGATCAACCCTGAGCTGCATTATTTCACCTTTCAAACCATCTCATCTGCCACAAACAATTTCTCAAGCACTAATAAGCTAGGGCAGGGTGGTTTTGGAGCTGTTTATAAGGTAAACTTTCAAAGTTCAAACACACTCAGTCTCTATTTATAATTAATTAAGAAGAATCCAGATAAAAGCTGATGCATGTGATGGATTAATTTCACAGGGAAAATAGTTGATGAGCAAGAGGTTGCTGTAAAACGACTTTCAAGAAGCTCTGAACAAGGAGTCAAGGAGTTCAAGAATGAAACTGAACTCATTACCAAACTTCAACACACTAATCTTGTCAGGCTTATCGGGTGTTGCATTGAGAAGAAAGAGAAACATATGAGTACATGCCTAATAAAAGTTTGGACTACTTTCTATTTGGTAAGATATAAGGAAGTAATGACATGCATCCATGTGGGTCTGCTAGCTGTGTGCTCAAGATCATGCTATGATTAGACCCACCATGTCAGAAGTTATTTTTATGCTCACCAACGAAAATATGCATCCACCTGAACCAAAACGACCAGCCTTCTTCATTGAGAGATGATAATTTGGAAAATGTCTCGGTAAATGGGCAATCAATTTCGATTTTGGTGGCGAGATAAAAGTCAGGAAAAAAAAAGGCATAATCCATATACGTACTTGGTCAGAAAGCTATAGGAACTTTTGCAAAACAAGACTCTTGACTCTTGTTACATCAAAACATAAGGGCTATCTGTTTCGGTTGACTACGTGTAAGTAACGTAAAACAGGAGTTGTGGAAAGTTAAGTCAAGAAAAGTATCAATAAAACCTAATGAAAGCTCTTATTGCATCAAGACATTAAAGGGCTGTCTATTTCAGTTGACTAAGTGTTGACTAAGTGTAACGTAAAACAGGAGTTGTCAAAGGCCAAGTCAAAAAAAAACGTGTCATAAGAGTATTGTTTATAAAAATTACGTTAATGCAAGAGCTTGTGTTCAAGTCATTCCACTTCTTCCTTGAAAAAATGGCAGTCAGAAGCATCTTCCTGATCATCCTCACTTTATGTTGCTCTTTTTTCAGCAATGCTTGCTACTCAGAAACAGATACCTTACTGCAAGGTGAAGAGCTGAAGAACTGGGACTATTTGATTTCGTCAAATAAGGTCTTTACTTTGAAGTTCTTTGGGTTTGGAAGTACCATAAGCCCTTATTTAGGAATATTCTACAGCGCCCATGGTTCTGGAAACAGGAAAATACCTAGATTAAAGGTATACGACCACCGCTTAGGAATGATTTATTATGTTAAAGATGGGTCCGGATATTTGCAGAGAGAAGATAAGGCAGTTTGGGTAGCAAACAGAAACAATCCGAGCAAAGATGTATACGGAAAGCTCACGATAGATATCCACGGAAAGCTGAGCATTTTATCAGGTGGAGGCACTGTGGTTGATCTCTCCAGTCCTACTCCAGTAGTAACACGCAACGCAAGTTGTACCCTGTTGGATAATGGAAATTTCATACTGCAAGAACTATATCCAGATGGGTCTGTTAAACGGGTTTTATGGCAAAGCTTTGATTACCCAACAGACTGTTGGGAATGCAACAAAACAAGTTAAGCACTTCTGAAAAATTGATAAATGATTTCGGCAAAACTCGCGGAATAAAACTACTGAAAAATTGCAAACGAAATTGAACACGATATTTAACGTGGTTCGGTCTAATCTGACCTACATCCACGGGCGAACGAGAGAGAGAGGATTTTATTATCACCAGAGAAAATTACAATCATACAAAGCTAAACTGCACTTGTAATCTGATCACTCAGTATAAGGTATTACTCGTGCTTTTGGCTGCCGAATTAAAGGCTCTGCACAAAAGGCTTCCTCACTATTTCTACTGGATATATAAGAGAAGTTACTTGACTCTTATATATGTTTTTGTTGTGTTTTGGTGTGTCTTTTCCCTTCAACATATGCTTCCTTTTATAGTAGATGAAAAGGAATAAAGAGGAGAAATTAGTGGAGCAAATCAAGGAGTAATTTATGAAAAGAGGAGTGGGTGGGAGACAATGGTGAGTCTCCACCAATTAACTCAACAATCTCCCACTTGGAGACTTGAACCATACGGTCTTCCTATCATCCAGCTCTTGCAACACACACACACACACTCTCTCGTTATCTGCCATGCCTTCCTCTTCAAACTTCTGGAAGGCCAGTTGAAGTCATGCATAACTTCAACTTATCAGTGCTAACCACCTTGGTGAACATATCTGCTGGATTCTTCGTTCCAAGGATTTTCTTCAGATGTAGAGTTCCATTACTGATTAACTCTCGAATGAAATGGTACCTCATCTGAATGTGTTTCGTTCTACTGTGAAACACCGGATTCTTAGCTAGGTGAACTGCACTTTGGTTGTCACAATGCAGTACACAATCCTCCTGTTGAAATCCAAGTTCTAATAAGAACGTTTTCAACCATATAAGCTCCTTGGCCGCTTCTGCAATAGCCATGTATTCTGCTTCTGTGGTTGAAAGAGCAACACTCTTTTGTAACCTGGACATCCAACTGATTGCCGTACCTCCTATTGTAAACACATAACCTGTTGTGCTTTTACCCGAATCCTCACATCCACCCAAATTTGCATCGGTGAACCCTTCTAAGACCACCCCCTTTATTCTGTAACATAGGGCAACCTCAACTGTTCCTTTCAAGTAGCGTAACAACCACTTTACTCCTTCCCAATGCTCTTTTCCTGGATTCGACATGAACCTGCTCACAATTCCCACTGCTTGAGCAATATCTGGTCTGGTGCATACCATAGCATACATTAAGCTACCAACTGCAGATGCATAGGGAACTTTAGTCATCTGGTTCTTGTCTTCTTCCGTCTTTGGGGATTGCTTCTTTGAGAGTCTCAACTGACTTCCCAAAGGTGTACTTCTGGCTTTAGCATCTGCCATGTTGAACTTTTCTAAAACTTTCTTGATGTACTTAGCTTGTGAAAGTTTTAATGTACCGGTAACTCTGTTCCTGGCTATGCTCATGCCCAATATCTGCTTAGCAGTCCCTAGGTCCTTCATCTCGAACTCTCTGGACAACTGCTTCTTAAGCTTGTTGATCTCCTGCATGTCGGATCCAGCTATCAACATGTCATCAACATATAATAACAGGATGATGTAAGAGGAGTTGAATTTCTTCAAGTAGCAACAATGATCCATTTCACATCTGTGATACCCACTCCTCTGCATGAAGCTATCAAACTTCAAGTACCACTGTCTTGGAGCTTGCTTCAATCCATACAGACTTTTCTTCAGTTTGCACACCAGATTTTCCTTACCAACTGTGGGAAAACCCTCTGGTTGTGCCATGTAGATGTCTTCTTCCAGGTCACCATGGAGAAAAGCTGTCTTCACATCTAGCTGCTCTAGATGGAGATCTTCAGAGGCTACAATTCCCAAGACCATTCTGATTGTAGTCATCTTCACAACTGGGGAGAATATCTCGTTGTAGTCAACACCCCTCTTTTGTTGGAAACCCTTTACTACCAATCTGGCCTTGTATCTTTTACTGCCATCAATCTCATCTTTGACCCGAAACACCCATTTGTTCTGCAGTGCTTTCTTCCCTGCCGGGAGCTTGACCAAGGACCAAGTATGGTTCTTATCAAGTGAGCTCAACTCGTCTTCCATAGCCGTCTTCCACTGTATGGAATCTTTCATCCTTAAGGCCTCTGGATAAGATTCAGGTTCACCATTCTCAGTCAACAGCAAGTAATTAGTTGAAGGAGAATACCTTACTGGAGGTCTTCGTGCTCTAGTGGATCTACGGATAATAGGAGTTTCGGTTTCTGCATCATTTGCAACCTCATCTTCTGAACTACTATCCACCGTGCTCCCACTATCTCCAGATACATCAGAGCTCCCACTGCTTTCTGAACTTTCACCTATCTCTGGAGTACTAATAGGTTTTACAACGTCATCGTCTGAGATTTCTTCTAACTCAACTTGATCCTTCTTTTCTGGTTGCTTGTCACCATTGGAGCTTTTTGCAAGTTCATCCTTGTATAGAGCATTTTCGTTGAACACCACATCCCGACTTCTGATAACTTTCTTATTCTCATTATCCCAGAAGCGGTACCCCATGTCATCCAACCTGTAACCTATAAAGGTGCACTTCCTTGCCTTTGCCTCTAGCTTCTCTCTCTCCGAGTCTTTAACTTTAACATACGAGACACAACCAAATACCTTCAAGTGTTTGAGTGAAATCTCCCGACCTTGCCATTCCTCTTCTGGAATCTTGAACCCTATGGGAACTGAGGGTCCTCTGTTGATTAAATATGCAACTGTGTTGACTGAATCTGCCCAGAACATCTTGGGTAAACCTGCATGCAGTCTCATGCTTTTAGCCCTCTCGTTCAATGTTCTGTTCATCCTCTCAGCTACTCCATTTTGCTGAGGTGTCTCCGGAACTGTCTTTTGCATTCTGATTCCTTGGTCAGCACAATAATCAACAAATTCTTTGCTACTGTATTCGCCCCCATTGTCTGATCTGAAACACTTGATTTTCAAGTTTGTTTCATTCTCTACAATAGCTTTCCATTTCTTGAATGTGCTGAAAACTTCAGACTTATGCTTCAAGAAATAAACCCAAACTTTCCTTGTGCAGTCGTCAATGAAAGTAACATAATATCGGGATCCTCCCACTGAAGAAACTGTAGTGGGACCATAAACATCTGAATGTACTAGCTCCAACTTCCCGGACTTGGGTGGACGACCAGTCTTCACGAAAGTAACTTTCTTCTGTTTACCAAGAACACATGGCTCACAGAAATCAACTGTTATAGTCTTTAGATCTGGTATTCTTCCTTTGGAGGCTAGCATCTTCATTCCTTTCTCACTCATATGGCCAAGTCTTTGGTGCCATAGAGTAGGTGCCCCAACTTCTTCAACAGCATGTGCTTCAGCATCAGAAACTTCCACCATATAAAGTGTACCCCGCTTCTGACCTCTAGCAACAACTAAGTTTCCCTTTGTCACTTTCCACTGATGATCACCAAATGTAACATGGTGACCTTCATCATCAAGCTGCCCCACAGATATTAACATCCTTTTCAAGTCTGGAATGAACTTGACATTCTTCAAAGTCCACTTCGTACCTAAAGTTGTCTTGAGGACCACATCCCCAACTCCAGTAATATCCAGGCTCTTGTTATCTGCTAATCTGACTTTTCCTTTGTACTGCTTAAAATTATGCATTACTTCTCTGGAATGACTAGCATGAAACGACGCACCAGAATCCATGATCCAGGATTCAGTTGAGTTTTCAACACAACAAATGAGTGCATCATCTTCAGAATCTGCTGCCATATTTACTTCCTTCTTGCCTTTGTTTGCCGAAGGCTTTGGGCACTGATTTCTGAAATGACCTTTCTCATTACAGTTCCAACAGGTAATATCTTTCCTATTCTTCGATTGACCTCTCTTTCTTGACTGCGATCTTCCTCTACCACCACCTCCTCTGTTGGTCTTTCTTCCTCTATCTTCAGTACTTAGAAAACTACTGGAAGCTTCTCCGACACTTCTTCTGCGCACATCCTCACCAAGGATTAAATCGCGAATACCTTCGAATGATAGCTTAGCACCTCCGGCTGAACTGCTAACGGCCGTTACTGTGCCGGACCAACTATCGGGTAACGATGATAATAGTAGCAACGCCATGACCTCATCTTCAAATCCAATATCAACATATATCAATCTTGATATTATTGAGTTGAATTCGTTCACGTGGTCTGTCACTGAGCTACCTTCCTTCATCTTCAGATTTACAAGTTGCCGGATCAAGAAAACCTTATTTGCCGCTGAAGGTTTTTCGTACATATTAGACAGCGCATTTATCAGATTGTAGGTTGTCTTCACATTGACAATATTGTAAGCTACATTATTTGCCAATGATAACCTTATCACTCCGAGTGCCTGCCGATCTAATAAGTCCCACTCCTCCTGCGTCATCTCTTCGGGTTTGTCTTTGGACAAAGGTTGGTGTAACTTCTTCTGGTAGAGATAATCTTCAATTTGCATTTTCCAGAAACCGAAATCTTGACCATCAAATTTTTCGATCTTAACTTTCCCATCTTCAGCCATAGCTCTGATACCAGTTTGTTGGGAATGCAACAAAACAAGTTAAGCACTTCTGAAAAATTGATAAATGATTTCGGCAAAACTCGCGGAATAAAACTACTGAAAAATTGCAAACGAAATTGAACACGATATTTAACGTGGTTCGGTCTAATCTGACCTACATCCACGGGCGAACGAGAGAGAGAGGATTTTATTATCACCAGAGAAAATTACAATCATACAAGGCTAAACTGCACTTGTAATCTGATCACTCAGTATAAGGTATTACTCGTGCTTTTGGCTGCCGAATTAAAGGCTCTGTACAAAAGGCTTCCTCACTATTTCTACTGGATATATAAGAGAAGTTACTTGACTCTTATATATGTTTTTGTTGTGTTTTGGTGTGTCTTTTCACTTCAACATATGCTTCCTTTTATAGTAGATGAAAAGGAATAAAGAGGAGAAATTAGTGGAGCAAATCAAGGAGTAATTTATGAAAAGAGGAGTGGGTGGGAGACAATGGTGAGTCTCCACCAATTAACTCAACACAGACACCCTTCTTCCTGGGATGAAACTGGGGATTAATCTCAAGACCGGGCATCGATGGTCACTCACTTCTTGGAGGAGCAAAACTCTACCAGCTGATGGGTCTTTTACATTAACAGCAGACCCAAATGGCACAGACCAAATGGTCATCCTGAGGCGAGGGAACATCCACTGGAGGAGTGGATCATGGCTGATCAATGCTGGATTCGAGAACACATATCTACAGAATTCGGGTCCTGATGTTCGCCTTTACTATATTTCTAATGAGACCGAGCAATCCTTCACATATTTAACTAGAACGTATGATTCAACCCCAGCTCTGATGATGGGTTTAAACGGCCAGCTTATGGGTTCAACTCTGCAGTTAGATGTCCAATGTCGCTCAATCAAGGACAATGGTTCTGGTTGTGCTGAATATGAGTTTGAAGAGTTGGACTGCAGGAAAGACTGTGGGTTTTATAAGAGTTCTTACAGCATGTATGGGGATGAGTATGAATATGATGAAAGCTATAACTTGACTTCATATGATAGCCAAAGACTATGCTGCACCAATTGTTCTTGCATGGCCTATACTTATGCAACCACAAACAGGGCCACCTGCAAGACATATGGCCAAAGGACAGGGGAAGCTAAAAATCAGTCATATAGAGAATATTACGCCATCACGTGTTATCATGAAGGTTAGTAAGTTTCAACTTAACACTTGTGAGTAAAAAAATGAGCCATACATAAGTTGTAGCAACTGATTTCACCCTAAATGCTGAAAACTTTCATACGTGTGTTAGTGTTATGTTGCAAGTTATTGCTATCTTTACGATAAGAAAATTGTACACTTGATTTGATAAATAAACCAGCTGGAATCTCTTATCTTGAGCTAACCTTCTATGCAATATCTCTTTTGCTTTCCAATAAATTTATTTTCTTGAAAAGTTTTTGTTGGGGTCGGGCAAAAATCATCCTGTCCAACATAAACATCCAGAAGAACCAGGACAAAATAAAATGCAACAGGCCAGTACTTCGATTATTTCTTCTAAATAAAAATTTTATTCTCGCATTTGTTGCAAATGATATTGACAAGATAGTAACAACAAAAATGTGCCCACATAAAAAGAGAACAAAATATTTTCATTTGCAGAAGAGGAGAAGAAATGGGTCCGGTTTTGGTCGATCATCGCGATTGCATCTGTATTTTCATTCCTATCATGCTATTTCTTATACAAGAAGCTTAATATTAACGGTAATTACCTCAAATTTTTTTTACTTTGCATACATTCTATCTATCTATCTATCTATCTATCTATCTATCTATCTATCTATCTATCTAACACTCTTTCTCTGTTAACAAATTAGGGAAAGCTGTTAAATATGTCATGTTGGTTGTATTTTTGGAAGTGAAGAAAATCCTAAAGCTGTTGCTGCATCGTCTGAGGCACTTCTACAAATACATACGAGCAGATAACAAGGTGAATGCTGAGCTGCATTACTTCACATTTCAAAGCATCTCATCTGCCACAAACAATTTCTCAAGCGCTAATAAGTTAGGGGAGGGGGGTTTTGGAGCAGTTTATAAGGTAAACTTTCAAACACACTCTATTTAACTAAGAAGATTCAAGATAAAAGCTGATCAGGTGATGGATCTGACAGGGAAAATTAGTTGATGGGCAAGAGGTTGCTGTAAAACGACTTTCAAGAAGCTCTGAACAAGGAGTCAAGGAGTTTAAGAATGAAACCGAACTCATAGCCAAACTTCAACACACTAATCTTGTCAAGCTTATAGGGTGTTGCATTGAGAAGAAAGAGAAAATCCTTGTATACGAGTACATGCCTAATAAAAGCTTGGATTCCTTTCTATTTGGTAAGATGATCTAAAACATGCTTTGTTAATTAACATATCTAATAAAAAATTGCTTCATTTTGTTTGACTATTTTTTCTCATTTAACTTGTAAACAGATCCTAGGAAGAAAGGACTACTGGATTGGAATACCCGGCTTGTAATCATTGACGACATTGCTCAGGGACTCCTATATCTCCATAGGTTTTCAAGGCTGAGGGTTATTCATAGAGATCTGAAAGCGAGTAATATCTTGCTAGATGACTACCTTAAGCCAAAAATTTCAGATCTTGGTATGGCTAAGTTATTTGGGATCGATGAGTCTGAAGCATATACAAGTCGAGTCGTTGGAACTCGGTGAGTCCATAACCTGTCTTTTGTGAATATGAGTCCCTAGCTAACACAAACTCCCAAACAATAACTCTTGGTTTTTAAATAAAACAGTGGTTATATGCCGCCCGAGTATATGTTAGAAGGCTCTGTTTCAACAAAGACGGATGTGTTTGGTTTTGGTGTTTTGTTGCTTGAAATTGTAAGTAGCAAGATGAATCACGGGAGCACCCAACATGATGCGGAACACCCACTCAATCTTCTTGGACACGTAAGTTAATCCTATCCAAGACAGATTTTCTTCATGTGAGACAAGTTATTTTATTGTTTGATAAGAAAATCATTAACTAATTGTCGCACAAATGTTTAAATTGATTCAGGCATGGGAACTATGGAATGAAGCAGGAAGAGGTTTGGAGTTGATGGATCCGGTACTAGAAGATTCATGCACTCCCAAGGAAGTAATGACATGCATTCATGTGGGTCTCCTATGTGTTCAAGATCATGCCATCGATAGACCTACCATGTCAGAAGTTATTTCTATGCTCACAAATGAAAATATGCATCTACCTGAGCCAAAACGACCAACTTTCTTCATTGAGAGGCATCAAGCAGATTCTGCAAGAGATGATAATATAGGAAATGACTCCGTGAATGGGCAATCAATTTCAATTTTAGTGGCAAGATAGGAGGAGAAAAAAGCATGTGTAATATCGTTATATACACTGCATGCAAAGAAGTCTGACCGGGTAGTAATATATTGCTTACAATCTTAATGATTTATAATTTTCAAGTGTTCAAGATGTTGAACTTTATATATATGAAAATTACCATTATGGACTTGTCCCATATTGGAAGTAAGATATTGTGATACAAATTACCATTAATGTATATTATGAATTGTACTGCACCGGACTTTGGCATCGGACTTTGGCATATAATGAAAGTAGATTGATCCGTTACTCCCACAATCCTAGGAAAAATCATTGGTATGCATTAGTTAGAGTACTTAGATATTTAAAGCATACAATCATTTATGCATTGCATTACACGAGATATCCTCATAGACAATGGCAGGAACGCCGATATCCTATACGAGCACTGCTTCAAGCAATTTCCAACCCCTGGAAGGAGGGCCTAAAACCTCCAACCGACGACCCACTCATAGAATTCTCGGGGCACACAGCTTAGGGCCGGTAGGCACCATACACCTCCCCCTCACTTTAATCAGTCACGACGGGAGGGACAGAATCACACGAACGATAGAACTATCAGTAGTACGCTTCCCAGCATAGCACAACATCCTGCTCGGGTGACCGTCCCTTTTCCAACGATCCATGGTACTGTAAAGTTTAGCACGTGCACCAGGTCGGCATGGGCACCGGCCTGCAAGCACACCGCCACAATCAAATCATCACAACACTAGAGCTAGTGTGAGCCCCAGAGAGGTCAAAGGAGAATCGTCACAAAAAAATGCAACCTAGGAGGTCGCAAAAAATAGCTTGAGCACCACACCAGGAGATACCTCAATAAACGAACAAAGATCGGGCGGGGACGGGGGGGGGGGGGGGGGGGGGGAAGGGGGTGACATAAGTATGACAATTAACCTTGAGGTTGCAATCCAAGAGGATACAAGCATCCCCCAGGTATTGAAGTTGGGCCGCAAATAGAACAACGACGAGAAAACACGACAACTCACGACAAACATGCATTAACCCCCTGACCTAAACAAAACAGTTCCGCTCTGCAACACCAAAGAAAGCCCACAGACTCCGGCATAAATGCAAACAACACTAATTGGGTGTAACGATTCCACTTTCGAGGTAAGAGAAGGCCAGAACCTAGCCCGCCAGATAAACAAAGAGGAAGTCACATTGATCAAAAACGAGGTTCAAGAGTTCCTCGGTCTTGAAGGCCCTCACAACCCCCAAAGGGTTCAAGAAATCGGCGCGAGGCTAACAGCACTCAGCACGCTTCCTCGAAGCCAATTAAAGAAACACTCCCGCTTTTCCCAACAAATCAAACCCTTCCAAACTCGAAGAAATCAGGACAACCGACGGAATGGGCCACAAATTTAAGCAAGTGAGGTGCATATCACTGGTCACACCAGCATCGAAATCCAAGTCTTGGGGATTCCTTAGCTGAAACTCCCGACATGCCGAAACATGCACCGGTTGTCATACCGATAGACTCCTCGGACCTTGGGCCAGGCGCAGACGTGTGGGAGCTACACATCAATGGTGCAACAAAATAGGAAGTATTTAGAACAGGCCTCAACATAGCACGGAAATCCAAAGCAAGACATCTCCTAGCTCCCAGTAACCCTCCATTTAGCACCGGCTGGATGGATGTTGCCATAAGGCCAAAGACAAGAAGGTCCAAAAGGTGCAAGGACGCGATGCAAGAGTTAACACGCTCGCTCAGGAGTCCAAAAACAAACTAGATCCTCATAAATAAGAAGACAAGGAACGACGCTCTCAACAAATTAACCCTAACATCTCTCAACCATCAGATCAAGGAGTTCCTGGCTAAAGACCTCCCAGAAAGGAGCATCAACAAAAGGCAAGTCGACATCATCATGGCAACCCTCAACTGGACCAAACCTTACTTAGGCTGCCACTCTTATTCAGTTTTTCTAGATAATCCCCTGGAGGTTGCTCTATGATTTACAGTAAGTGGAGTACAGCTAAATAGGAGAGAACACCTGATTCTATGTGTCAAGCACATCGATCACACAGAGAGATGTATGTTCGTAAAGAAAAGGCATACATACGAAATTAGAGCACCTAGAGAAAAAGGGGTTGCTTCCAAGAAGACACTCCTCCGAGGAGTATATGGGCCTGACACAGATAAAGACATTGTCGGACTCCCAAAGGAACGCCCAAAGAAATATGCCCTCGTGCCTTTCTAAAATCAGCATTCCATAACCCTTACGGGCAGCCCTAGCCACCTCGTCAATGAGGCATAGATGGTACTGACCCATTCCCCATCGCCCCGGGCAGAACCAAGTTCCCGCTAATCGCTATAGACCATTCCACCAGGTGGACCGTGGCCGAGCCAACAACCACTAGCACGGGGAGGCAGATGATAAAGCCAACGATGGAAAATATCCTCGCAAGCCATGGCATGCCTAGGGCCCTGGTCGGCAACACAAGCGCCCCGTTCGAAAGAAATCTCTTCAAATCATGGTACGAGGAGAAACGAAACCACCGCCAGTTCACCCAAGTTACAAACCCAAGCCAACGGTCAAACCAGGGTTTCAAACATGGTTACCACCTATGCATTCAAGAAACACCTGATGAAATCTAAAAGAGCCTAGGATGGAAAGTTGTTGACAATACCCCAGTCGTACCATACACCCCCAGGACCCGACATCAGAAACACACCCTTCAGCCTGGCACGTAGCGCAATGGCAGTATTACCACTTGGGGTCAGAAGCAGGCCTTTATGAACGGAGAGCCTTGGCACAAGCGCCAGTAAGATCGAAAAGTTCCAAAACATGGATGTAATTGACAAAAAGTAGGCATCCGCCCGATTCCACTATGCTTTCTGAAAAACCCACACCGAAATTTACTACAACTATGTAATGCCTGTAGATTCGGGGTATACAATTTAGAGACAATAAGCGTTAACAATGTCTTTTCATAGAAAATTATTTAGGACAAATAATCATAACAAATGTTATAGTATATGTGACAAGGATTCCGTACATATAAAGAAAGCTAAAATCAGACTTCGAATGAAGAAGTTATGCTTCTTTGAAATTTCGCGATTAAACCGGCACGGCTCTGCGTATCATAAAAAGTGAAGTTTTGATAAATTACCTTTAGCCTAAGTAATCTAAAAGAAAGTCATAGTATTTGTTAAACTGAGTGTGCATATAGAGAACGTCCAAATCTGACTTCAGTAGAGAAAGTTATGATTTTTCGAAGTTTCTACGCAGAAGTGAGGGCACAAAAATTGAATTTTAGATTGGTCGATTTTTATCTGAAATGATCTAAATGAGAATTAAAGATCTCATTAATAGGATTTCAACGATAAAAAGACAATCGAAAACGGATTCCGTAAGTAGAAGTTATGAATTTTACACGGTCATTAGCATTGTAATCTTCTCGGACTATTAAATTTAAGATCGATCAATAATTAGCCGATGGGGTCAAAAGAAAAGTTGTACTTGGAAATACCTACGCGTGGATTTTAATTACATCAAAACCGGAGCTCTTATGCGAAAGTTATGAATTTGTGAAGATCTGTAGTTTTACCTGCGTTCGGTGCCACGTGTCAGCACCAGAGGCGAAGCCTTGGTGCCTACGCATGCTCACGGCGTGAGAGGAACATCTCACGATGTGAGAGGCCCCTGGGCAGCCTAAAAATAAAGTTGGATTTCACTTATTTCTTCACACCTTTCCATTCTATTCTCTCCCAAATCCCCCAAGTTCCCAAGGCCTCTCTTTAGAACTTCCTAAGTGTTAGTAGCGAAGCTCCGGAGCCCCAGAAAGCCCCGAGAAATAGAGCTTTTGGTTTAGAAGTTCTTCCCGCATAGATTCTGGTTTCTCGCTAAACCACCTGCAAGTTGAGTTATGCTTACCGTGCTTTAAGTATAACTTATATTTAAGTTCATTATTGTTATTATGAACCTATCAACAATATTTATCATTGATTCCAAGTCGTTATACTAATTGATCTACTTACGGGGATGTTAACAAAGCTAGATTTAGTGAGGTTTTTAAAGTCGGTGTAACACCCCGTTTATAATGTAAATAAATAGATAAAGATTAATAAATGAATCTTGGCCTTAAAATCCATAATATTTAGTAGGGCGTTGGTTTTGGGAGCCAAAAGTTATTATTGGATTATTCATGGGCTAAAAGTGTAAGTTTCGGGTTGATTTTGTAAATAATTGTGAAGGCAGGGATTATCTGCTAAATTATTGGACTTAAATTGAAAAGAATTTGGAATGTTGAGGGCTAAAGAGTAATTTTGGACCAAATATAAAAAGGATTTGTTGAGGAGGGGTTGTTTTGTTAAATTTGGACTTAATTTGTAAAGGTTTTAGAGGGTAGGGTTTAAATGGTAAAATAGGGGCTAAATTTTAAAGAAAATATGAAGGGAGGGGCCATTTGTGACAGTATGGCATTAAGTTTCCTAAGGGCACGAGTATATAACCCAAAAGGGAACCCTAACCCTAGCGGAAGAAACAACCATCACCTCTCCTTCTCATATCCTCTACAGCCACCACCGTTCATGGGTGCTCCTTCCGCCGTCGCTGTTGAAACCGGAAACCGCCAACCCTTCCGTTACCGGAGAAGACGAAGAGCCATACGTTGATGTCGTGTTATTCGGGAGGAGCGAGAGAGCGGGGATTGTGGGAGTTGCGATTGTTGCCGACGTCGCGTTAGTCGGAGACGGAGGAGCAGTTCGTCTCCGACGCTGCTGCTTCACTCCACCCTTTTTCTCCCTCAGTTCATTGAAGTGCCATCGTCCCTCCGTGTCTCCTTCTTCTTCTTACTCTGCCTTCCTTCGCTGCTTTATCTCGTCACCACCAGCCACCATGGGTGGTGGCTCTGAGTTCGTGTGGGTGTGTGATGTTGCTTCAAGACTCGTGTGGATGCTAGCTTGTTTTCACCGGAAACGAGCTCCTAAAGGCCACCCTTCGTTGTATGCTGCTACCTACCGCCGTTAAGACCGCCGATGCCACCTCTCCATGGTGCGGCCGTCGCCAACCGCCACCAGGAGGGTGGCTGGACTCGTTGCAAGAAGTAAGAGCGTGTGGGTATTTGTTATTTCATGTAGGTGGTGTTGGTTTGGCCGAAATCTACGGGAACAGCCACCACCAC